AGAAGGGAGGAAGGGAAGAAGGAAGGACGAAAGGAAGGAAGGAAGGAAGGAAGGAAGAAAGAAAAGAAAGAAAGAAAGAAAGAAAGAAAGAAAGAAAGAAAGAAAGAAAGAAAGAAAGAAAGAAAGAAAGAAAGAAAGAAAGAAAGAAAGAAAATGCCCTACAGCTGGATCTCATGGAGGAATTTTCTCTTCTGAGACTCCCTCCTCTCTGGTGACTCTAGCTTATGTCAAGTTGACATAAAGCCAGCCAGTACATGAGTAGAACTGTAGGACTCAGATGAAAAGCTTAGGTGTTTTCTTTCATTCAAAGAACCTATATTTAAACATCTATAGGCATATGTCTTAGTCAGGGTTTCTATTGCTGTGATGAAACACTGTGGCCAAAAAGCAAGTTGGGGAGGAAAGGGTTTATGTCAAGATATATTTGTAATCTAAGAAATAAAGCTTGCCTGAAGATCAGAGGACAGAGCCAGCCACAGAGTTAGCCATAGAGGTCAGGCAGTGGTGGCACACACCTTTAATCCTAGCACTCGGGAGGCAGAGGCAGAGATCCATCTGGATTTCTGTGAGTTCAAGGCCAAACTGGGCTACATGAGAATAATCCAGTCTAAAAGAGAAACAGCCAGGCAGTGGTGGCACACACTTTTAACCCCAGCACTAGGAAGGTTGAGACAGGAAGTGGTATGGCTGGGCAGAGAAAGGAATATAAGGCAAGAGGAGACAGGAACTCACTCTCTTTGAGAGGATCTTCCAGGCTGAGGAGTTGGTAAGGTAAGAGGTGGTGGCTGTGGCTTGCTCTGCTTCTCTGATCTTTCAGCTTTCACCCTGGTATCTGGCTCTGGGTTTTTATTACAAGACCATTTAGGATTTGTGCAACAGGTTTATTAGGCTTACACTTCAGCATTGTGGTCTGAGCAAGTCACAATGAGCAAGCCAGTAAGCAGCACCCCTCCATGACCTCTGTATCAGCTCCTGCCTCCAGGTTCCTCCCCTGTTTGAGTTCCTGCCCTGACTTCTCTTGATGATGAACTATGATATGGAAGTGTAAGCCTAATAAACCCTGTCCTCCTCAGCTTGCTTTTGGTTATATTGTCTCATTACAGCAATGGAAACCCTAAGACACTAGGCAAACACTTTACCAACTGAGCCATCCTTAGCCCTAGCTCCTAAGTAACTTCAAGTCCACTGGAACACACTTATATACTCAGGAGCCATGGGAATTGCCAGGCTGCCATATTTGCCTGGGAAATCATGTCTCAGAACAGGAATGACCTAATGAAAACAGCTGCATGTCTCCTAGGCAACTGGCAGTATGCTTTTGTGCTGTGAATGTTGCAATCCCTAGACTTGTGCTTCCCCTTTTGGGCTCCTAAAAGTTTGGACGTGGTTTTCTGGTCTTCAACTGTGCTTCTCCTTACCTACTCAACTGTGATTTATCCATTGTTCTGGTATCCTCTGTATTAGTTGTTTTATTACTCCTTTGGGGGCCCACCACTCACCCAAATCACACACAGAGGCTTATCCTTAATTATAAATGCCCGGCCTTAGCTTGGCTTGCTGCTTGCCAGCTTTCCTTATTTTCAATTTTTCCCATCTACCTTTTGCCTCTGGGCTTTTCCTGTTTTCCTACTTCTGTAAATCTTACTCCTACTTTGTGGCTTGCTATGTAGGTGGGTAGCTGGCCCCTGGTATCCTCCTCCTTCTTTGGCAACTTCTTTTTTTTTTTTTTTTTCAGAGCTGAGGACCAAACCCAGGGCCTTGTGCTTGCTAGGCAAGCGCTCTACCACTGAGCTAAATCCTCAACCCCTCTTTTTTTTTTTTCTTCCCCCAGATTTCTCCTTCTATACATTCTCTCTGCCTGCCAGCCCCGCCTCTCCTCATCCCTGCCTTGCTATTGGCCATTCAGTTCTTTATTAGACCACCAGGCGTTTTAGACAGGCACAGTAACACAGTTTCACAGAGTTAAAACAAATGCAACATAAACAAAAGTAACACACCTTAAAATGATATTCCCCAACGATCCTCACTTACCTACAGGACCATTTTGGATCGAGGCGGGGGACCAACTTGGAGGTTCCTTTTCAGGGTAGAAGGAGACAAGACCCCGAGACTCTTCAGATTGAGGCAGAAGACAGACGACACGTCCAGCCTTAGCTCTGACCTTGGATAAACCAGTTTCTCTCTCTGGATCTCCATTTTCTTAGACAGCCAAGAAGGATAAAAAATAAGCTCGGGCTGGAGCAACAGCTCAGTGGTTAAGAGTAAGAGGCTGCTCTTGCAAAGGATCCAGGTTGGATCCCCAGCACCCACAGGGCCACTCAAAACCCCCTGTAGCTCCATTCCAGGGGATCCAATGCCCTCTTTGGCCTTTGAGGGCACTGTGTACATCTGGTGTACAAGACATGCATGCAAGCAAAACATCCACACACACAGAATAATTTTTAAAAATAGCCATCTCTCTCATAGAACTGCTTTGAAGAGTCACACAGTTCCTTGAAACAAGCAAACAAGGTCTGTCTTTAAAATGTCTTTATTATTATTATTGTATTTTATTTTGGTTTTTCGAGACAGGGTTTCTCTGTATAGCTTTGCGCCTTTCCTGGAGCTTGCTCTGTAGACCAGGCTGGCCTCGAACTCACAAAGACCCACCTGCCTCTGCCTCCCGAGTGCTGGGATTAAAGGTGTGCACCACCACCGCCCGGCAATTATTTTTATTTTATGTGCATGCGTGTGTTTGTCTGTGAGTATGTGCTTTATGCATGTCAGCACCCACAGAGGCCAGAGGAGATATCAGATCCCTGAAACTGGAGTTACAGGCAATTGTGAGCCAGCCCCATGTGGTTGCTGGGACCCAAACTCAGGCCCCTCCACAAGAGCACCAAGCACTTTTACCTGCTGAGGCATTTCTGCAGCCCCAAAAGTCTGACTTTAGCTGGGTCTGGTAACACACATCTGTAATGCCAGCATCTAAGAGGCTGAAGTAAGAACGTCTTGAGTTCAAGTCCAGTCTAAGTTAAATAGTGAAACCATACTCAAAGAAAGCCAGCATGTGGACTGGGCTGCCCTTTCTTCTGTGCTGTGCTTTGAAAGTGAGATGTTCTCTCCCCCCCAACACACACAGACACACCCTACCCAGACCCATGTCTTTGAACACAGGGTGCCTGGCTGGTGGTGGTTTGGGGAGATTTGGTTTTGTTTTGTTTTTGTTTTTCCGAGACAGGGTTTCTCTGTGTGGTTTTGGAGCCTGTCCTGGATCTCGCTGTAGACCAGACTGGCCTTGAACTCACAGAGATCTGCCTGGCTCTGCCTCCCGAGTGCCGGGATTAAAGGCATGCACCACCGCCGCCCGGCTTGTTTGGGGAGACTTGGGAAGCCTTTGGGAGGTAGGATCTGACTGGAGGAAGAAGGCTGATGGGGAGTGGGGTCTTCCAGATCATAGTGGGGATCCACTTCGTCTCCTGTCTCTGCTTTTTGATACCCTCAAGATGTGGATAAGAACCTACTGCTCTTCCAGAGGAGCCAAGTTCAGTCCCCAGAACCCACCTCAGGAGGCTCACAACTTCCTGTAACTCCAGCTCCAGAGGACCTGACTCCCTCTTCTGGCCATCACAGGCAACTACACTCATCTGTCCATACTCACACACAGACATACATACAATTTAAAATTAAAATAAAAATAGTCAGGCACGGTGGGGGCACACCTTTAATGCCAGTACTTGGGAGGCAGAGGAGATGGATCTCTACGAATTTGAGGCCAACTTGGTCTACATAGTAAGTTCCAGGCTAGCCAGGGCTATATAGTGAGACTCTGTCTCAAAAAATAAGTCTTTATAAAGTTCTTGTTTCCAAACATAGGCACATTGAAGGGTTAATGCTTCAACATATGGATTCAGGGGATGGGAATATACTAGTCTGTGGTGATATACTGTGTACCCTAATAAAATTTGCCTGAAGATCAGAGGACAGACCAAGCCACTAGATTAAACATAGAGGCCAGACAGTGGTGACACACACCTTTAATCCTAATACTCGGGAGGCAGAGATCTGCCTGGATCTCTGTGAGTTCAAAGCCACCCTGGCCTACATGAGATTGACTCAGTCTAGGAGAGAAACAGAGTCAGACAATGGTGGCACACACCTTTAATCCCAGCACTTGAGATCTCATACCTTTGCTTGGGAAGCACACACGCCTTTAATCCCAGGAAGTAAGATGGAAGTAGGGAGAAAGGTATATAAGGTGTGAGGAGACAGGAACTGACGGCCTCTTTAGGCTGAGGAGTCCTAGAGGTGAGACGTGGCAGTGGCTTGTTCCTTTGTCTCTCTGATGTCTCAGCATTTACCCCAATATCTGGCTCCGGGTTTTGTATATAATACCATTTAGAATTCGAGTAACACCATTCTGTAACACAAGGGACATAAGGGAGGAAGCCTGGACAAGTGAGCCAGTCTATTCCATCCCTGTGACCATGACAACAGAAGAATTTTAGAAGGGTATCCGTGGCAGCAGAATTTCAAATAGCTGACCAGACCTTGGGAAGCATCCCAGATGGGGGTTTCTGGCACATCTATACAAATGTAACCAGATCGCAGCCAGCAACCTGGAGGGTATGGAGCAGGGAATTTAACCATAGGGGAGGGTGAGCTGGGAACAGAACAGGACCCAGAGGGGCTGAAATGATGGATATTCAGGACTCGGGGTGTAGCACAAGGCTCTGGGTTGGATCTTCTGCACCCAAAAAGGAGAGGCGGAGGAAAAATAAGAGGACTACCTCAAAGCCCTGGATAGAGCATTGTGAATGATTGCTGAGAAGGTAGATTCCAGCGGAAGCCCATTTATGGACATATCCATTACTCGGAGGGATTCTGATTCATAAAAGAAACACAATGATCACCAACCATAGAAGGATAGTCACAGACAGAACCTATACACATTTAATCACATTTTTAGAAGTTTTATTTTTATTTTTTTTTTTTTTACGTGTATTGGTGTTTTGCCTGCATGTATGTATGAAGACGCCAGATCCACTGGAACTTGAGTTACAGACAGCTGTGCGCTGCCATGTGGGTGCTGGGAACTGAACCTGGGTTCTCTGGGAGAGCAGCCAGTGCTCTTAATGTTATTTATTTGTCGGTGTTATTTACTGGGCTCAAGAAAACACGAGGTACAACCCAGTATAAGAACCCAGTGTAAGAGTTTTTATTAGGGAAGGGAAAGGGTGGAGGTGGGTAGGCCTACAGAAAAAGGAAGGTGGGGGGGGAGAGGGAAGGAGAGAGAGGGGGACGGGAGCAGGAAGAGGTGCTCTTACAGGTCACCTCGTGCATACATATGTGGGCCTAAGTAGCTACGCCATGAGTATAGATTATGTGACCACACTGCACACTGATTACAGAGGACCTAAGGCCCTGGAGTGACTAAGCTTTTTGCCTGACTGCTGACAGCGCATGTGCAGTCCATGTGACTCCAGAAGTGGCTAGTCATAATAACACTTAACGACTGAGCCACCTCTCCAGCCCCTAGAAGATTTTTTTTAAGAGCAGGCTGGCCTCAAACTCAGAGATCCACCTACCTCTACCTCTGGAGTGTTGGGATTAAAAGGGGTGTGCTCCCAAGCCTAGCTGAATTTTTAGAAGAATTTAAGAGTATGGTTACATGTATAGCTATCCTGAACTGGGATGCATTAGGTAATAAGTTCCCTGTCATTGGAAGCAATCAAAATAACCCAGATGGCTAAAAGGGAGGTGGTTTGAAAAGGGTTGAATCTGGGCATGGAAAGACGGCTCATTGATTAATAACAAGAACTGCTTGCAGAGGACCCAAGTTCAGTTCCCAGCACCCACTTTGGGTGGCTCAGGACCATTTATAACTCCAGCTTCGGGAAATCCAGCATTCTCTTCTGGTTTCCATAGGCACCTGCACTCACTAGTACATACCACCTCCCCACACACATGCACAATTACAAATTTAAAATAAACCTTTTATTTGTTTAAAAAGAGTTAAATGATATATAATGTCCCATCTCAAAATAGATTTTGTGATGAAGACCTGTAACGCCAGTCCTCAGGATGGTAAGGCAGGAGGATCACAAGGTTGAGGCCAGCCTGGGCTACACTGATAAACTTTATCTTAATAAATAAATAAACCTGGGCAGTGGTGGCACACATCTTTAATTCCAGCACCTGGGAGGCAGAGGCAGGGGGATCTCTGTGAGTTTGAGGCCAGCCTGGTCTACAAAGTGCGTCCCAGAACAGCTAGGGTGGTTACACAAAGAAACGCTGTTTCAAGAAACCAAACAACAACAACAACAAAAAACAAAACAAAACAAAAAACAAGGTGAGGGTCTGGAAAGATGACTCAACCGTTAAGAGCATTTACTCTCTTCCAGAGGATCTAAATTCGGTTTTCAGGACCCACATCGGGTGGCTTACAAACATCTATAATTCTAATTCCTGGGGATCCGATGCCCGCCCCCACCCCTACATATACACTCAATACTTTGTTTTCAACCACAAAATTCTCTGGAATGTTCTTCAGGTACTGCACAGCCTCATAGAAGACAAGATAAGAGGAATTCAGGAGACACCTATGAAGAGCCCAGGCCCATGGACCATGAAGACCGTCTCTTTGAGTTCCATTGTTCTCCTGGCCTTCTTCCTCGGTATCCACCTTGGAGCTGCCGCACGTACGTAGCTGATCTCCCGCTCCTTTCCCCCCAGAAGCTCCTCCTCCGGAAGGGCCGTCTCAAGGTCATTCTTCTCCGTGGTTTTTAGAAGAAAGCGACAAGCCTTGCTGCCTCTATTACAGCCACCATGTGATCCCGTGGAACTGGGTGCACTCCTATGAGCTCGCCAAAGGCAGCTGTCCCCAAGATCTCATGGTGTGAGTATCAGGTCCCGCTGCATCGGCCGCGTCACCGGGCAGGGGCTGGGTAGATGTCCACAGTGATGAACTGGGCATCAGGGTGGGAATCTGGGAAGTGAGCGTCTCAGTTTTGTTTCGTGTCCCAGGGATAAAATACTTGAATAGAAGCAACTTGAGGGAGAAATGCCAGGCTATGGTCTGTTCCAGTTTGCTTTCTGTGGCTAGAATGAATAGCATGACAACTTGGGGACGAGAGGGTTTATTTCGTGTTAACACTCCGTCACTGAGGGAAGTCAGATCTCGAGGCAGGAACGGAAGAAGAGAACATGAAAGAATGCCACTTACTGAGTTTGCTCTGTAGCTCATGGTCTCTGCTAGCTTTCTAGGCCCACCTGCCTAGCAATGGTCCCACCTAGGGAATGATGCCACCTAGAGTTGGCTGGGTTCTCTCATATCAGTCGTTAGTGAAGACAGTTTTTTAACAGATGTGTCCACAGACCAATATCGAGGCAATTCTTTAATTGAGGTTTTTAAAGATGATCCCAGGCTAAGAATACACTGACAACTGAAACTAAGACACAGTCCATCATTGCTGGTAAGTCAAGGTAGCAAAATCTTGAAGCAGCTAGTCATAACTATATTCACAGTCAAGAGCAGAAAACAATTAATTTGATGCATGCATGATAGAGCTCAGCTTGATTTCTCTACTCTAATATAGTTCAGAGTCCCCAGCCTAAAGGATGGTACCACCCACAGTGGGCAAGTCTTCCCACTTCGATGAATATATTCAAGATAGCCCCCCACTCCCCGAGACTTCCTTCCTAGATGAGTCTAGATTTTAAGTTTACAATTAAAACTAACCACCAAGCTAGGTTAGAGCCCTCTCTCTGCAGAAACACATGTGGCTCTGAGCTAGTTAGATTCTGACTTTCATACCACGTAGCATGCCATGCTCTCACAGCTAGGTATAAAAGCAAGAGGTAAACACCATGATAAAGTTTGTAATCTCAGCATTCAGAAGGCTAAGGTGGAAGGATCATGAGTTTGAGGCCTACTAGGGCTACAATAGTAAGACCTTGTAGCACGAATCCTAATTGGTCTTAGTAATAAAAACCTGGAACCAGATATTGGGGTAAATGCTGAAAGGTCAGTAAAGAAGCCAGCCACTAGAGAGACTTCCTATCTCCACCAAATCCTCAGCCTGAAAGGGACTGAGCTCCTGTCTCTCCCCACCTCATATTCCTCTCTCCGCCCAGCCTTATCACTTCCTGTCTCCACCTCCCTAGTGCTGGGATCAAAGGTGTGAGCCACCACTGCCTGGCTTTGTTTCTCTACACAACCTTGTGTAGCCCAGGGTGGCCTTCAGCTCCTGATCTTCCTGCTTCCTCCTCCCAAGTGCTGGGATTAAAGGTGAATGCCACCACTGCCCGGTCTCTGTGGTTATCTAGTGGCTGGCTCCGCCCTCTGATCTTCAGGCAGGTTTTATTTGTTAGAGCACACACAAATGTGAGATGGCTCAGTAGGTTTGCCGACCAAACCCAATCATCTGAGCTTGTTCTCCTGGCTCCCTGGGATGGAGAAAGAAAGCCTACTCCCTGCAGACTGTCCTCTGACCTCCATGTAAGCACTACAGTATCAAAGGCCCCTCAGGTGCCGGCCTGAGATTTCTCCTAGAGTCCCGGGGAAGGTGCTACAAGCGGCATGGGTTACTAATCTGAGGGATAGCAAATGAATCAATCTACTTACATGAAACTCATTAGTCTGTTCACTTTTATTCTTCTGAGATGAAATTCTGTCTACACAGCTCCAGTTCTGTTCTCATATTTAGCTCTTCTCTGCCCCTTCTCCTCCTGTCCTCTTACAGTTCTAAGTTTTTTTCCATCTCATTCTCATCTTCATCTTCGTCCCTCTCTCTATCCTCGTTCCTTCCTTTCCTCTCCCCGTGACCTATCTCCATACCCTACAATCAGCAATACTCTGGCCCTGCCGCTTTCTGGTTGGGCGGGCTAAGTCTGCTGGGAGCTAGGAAACCTGCCTCATAGCTTGATGCACCTAGTATGAAAAAGCCCTTTTTGTTCTGAGTTAATTGTTGGAGGGGAAATCTGGGGGTGCCACTAAGGCTGTGTAAGAAAGGAGGGTCTGAGCTTAATTTGCACAAGAAACAAAGCTATGTCCCTAACAGCTGCCTGGCCTTGGCGGTGTCTCAGTATAGATATTTACCTTAATTCAGGAGACTAGCAGGTGGCCTGAAATGCTTATTCTGTCTGTCCTTTGTCTTTGGATGTTAGCTAAAGGAGATATCTGATTCTAATGCTAAGAAAGGAAAACAAAAAGTCTGAAAGCAGGAAGCCTTGCCTGTGTGGCCGCTATCCAAATATCTTAGTTGTACATGCCCAAAGACTGACCAATCCACACTGTTTAGAAGTTCTTAGGAAGAAGAATCAATTGGGGAAGCTATAATAGCACACATGAAATTCATAGCAGAAGACAGCTGATATATTCACAAAGCCAAAGGACACCAATACGCCTTGAGCCTTGGCTTCCTCTGGAAAGTCCTTGACCTGCCAGGTGATAGCTTTCGTTATAGTCAGCTGAATTCCTGCTTCATACTTCTGTGGCCTGCAGCACTATAGCAAGTGTCCCCCCCTCCACAATAAATAAAATTAATTTAAATATATAAAAAAGAGGATGAAGTGGCATATTCATATGGGGTCTCTTTCTGTCCTCTAAAATTCATTGTGCTGAGCTGTGGTATAACTCAGCGGTAGGGCATTTATTTAATATTATGAAGCTCTGGATTATACTCTCAGTGTGTGTGTGTGCGTGCGCGCACGCACGCGCGCACACACACACACACACACACACGAAAGATTAAAATTGGTTGGGCAATAGTTCTGTAGTCTATAAATATAGTCTATTAACCAACAAGTACTTGTCTTTTAAGTTTTCGTTTATTTATTTACCTTACTGGGGATTGAACGTAGGGCTTTGTACATGTTAGGCAGGTGCTCTACCACTGAGCCACCCTCTACCAAAGCCCCTCACTGGGGGATTCTAGGCAAGAGCTCTACCACAGAGCCACACCCCCACCCTTACTGGGGATTCTAGGCAGGTGCTCTACCATTGAGCCACACCCCTGCCCCTCACTGAAGGATTCTAGGCAGGTACTCTACCACTGAGCCACACCCCCACCCCTCACTGGAGGATTCTAGGCATATGCTCTACCACTGAGCTACAGCCCCAGCCCCTCACTAGATTCTAGGCAGGTGCTCTACCGCTGAGCCACACCGTCAGCCCTTCAATGGGGATTCTAGGCAGGTGCCCTTATAGCTAAGCTATAGTATCATCATCCCTAGTCACTTCAAATGTGTGCTTCATAGAGTGTGTGAATTATGTCTCAATAAGCTGTTATATTGAAATGAAAGCGAGGGTCCCAATATAGATTACTATCTGGCAACTAGACCTTATGAGACATGATTCCTGGGGTCTGTGGGCCTGAGAGTGTGTGGATTCCAGGGGAAATGGAGAGGAGAAGCAGGATCAGCAGGAGATGGGACACGAACAGAGTGCAGCAGCTGTGTTGAAAAGGGAGAACACGAGTCAGACTAACCCACCCTCCTCCTTCAAAAGCTTCCTAAGCCAAGGATGTCGACATTCACTTCTTATCTCTTTTCTACAGATTCACTACAAAAAGAGGTAAATTCTGTGTGCAACCAAAGGCCAAGTGGGTGCAGACATACATTTCTTTGTTGGAAGCCCAGAAGCATCTGTGACCCTGCTGGATTTTCAGCCCAAGGATCCTCGACTGCAGTTCTTGGCTCCTTTGCCCTCGCGGAGCCGGATGAATCCCTTTAGAGGGTTCGTAGTCCTGGTGGAAGGAGAGCATGGCTTCCATTAGAGGTTTTTAAAATAAAGATTTGATTTCAGCCGGGCGGTGGTGGCGCACGCCTTTAATCCCAGCACTCAGGAGGCAGAGCCAGGCGAATCTCTGTGAGTTCGAGGCCAGCCTGGGCTACCAAGTGAGTTCCAGGAGAGGCGCAAAGCTACACAGAGAAACCCTGTCTCGAAAAAAAAAAAAAAAAAAAAAGATTTGATTTTGCTAAGACTGGCAAGACGGCTCAGTGGGTAAAGGCACTTGCCACCAAGTCTGACGACCCGAGTTCAATCCCTGGGAGCCAACTCCTGAAAGTTGCCCTTTGACCTCCGTGTGTGCATTATGGTGCATACAGAGAGAGAGAGAGAGAGAGAGAGAGAGTAAATAAATGTAGTTTTAAAAAGATTTGACTGGCTAGGCATAGTGGCATACATCTTTAATGCTGGCACTCAAGACAGAGACAGGCAGATCTCTTTGAATTTGAGACCAATCTGGTTTATATAGTGAGTTCCAGGCCTTCTAGGACTACAAAATGAGACCCTGTCTCAAGATGATGATGATGATGATGATGATGATGGATGATAATGATTTAGACAATGAGATAGATAAATTTTGTCCTCCAGATGTCCACACACAGGCACAAATACCTGCACACATGCTCACATACAACACACACAGGGCCTGTCAATCAAACCCAGAGCTCACCAATATGGCATGCTCCGGGGATGTCTTATATCCACTTTCTACGCCTGGAATCCTTGGCAGGCCACCCTTGCACAGCAGTAAAAATGAACCAGCCAAAACAAAGAACACTTAAATACTATCAGTTCCTTGAACTGTGAACCTGGGACATCTTTCCATTTGTGTTTCCTTCAGTATCCTTTACTAGCAATGAATAATGGCTGTTCTCACGAGGCCTTAAGGAAGTACTCATTGGCCAAGCTCCTTGGTTCTTATCTGAGGTATTTGAGTTTCTCTGCAAACAGGTATTGAGATAAGAATTTACATGTATTACATGTATTTGGGAGTTGATCCACAAGAAATCAGTAGGGAGAGGGGATACGAGACAAGGAAGGAAAAGAAGCTGTAAATGTGTGTGAACAAGGAAGTTATGGGAGGTAGCGGCAGAGAGATCAGGAGTTTAAGGCTACACCACCAATTCAAGGCCAGCCTGGGCTACACTAGACTGAGTGTCAAAAACCCAAACCTAAACCAAACCCAACAAATATGCCTGAGGCTGGGGTCTACTGGTGGATTGGTTGGCCAGCATGCAGGCAGCCCTGCTCTATGCCCCAAGTTGGATACAATGGATGTGGTGACTGGTGCACCTAGGGAGGTCGAGGCAGGAGGATCAAGAGTTCAAGGTCGTGGGGGCTGGAGAGATGGCTTAGCAATTATGAGGGCTTGCTCTTGCAGAGGACCTCTCGGGACCCACATGGTGGCTCACAATCATCTGTAACTCCAGTTCCAGGAGATCTGATGCCCTCTTCTGACCTCTGCTGGCACCGGGCATGCACGTGGTGAACATACATAGATCATGCAAGCCAAACAATCATATAAATAAATAAATAACTTAAATAGAAAAGAGTTCAAAGTCATCCTCAGCTACATAGAGAGTCTGAGGCCATCCTGAGCTACACGACACCTTAACTCAAAAACTGAATAATTAGAAAATAAGAGGGCCCAGAGATGTGGCTCATCGGTTAAGAGCATGGACTGCTCTTCCAGAGGACCTGAGCTCAGATTCCAGAACCCACATTGGTAGCTCACAACTAACTGCAACTCCAGCTTTTACTGACACCCTCTTCTGGCCTCTGCATGTCCCTGCACTCACATGCACACAGACATATACACATAGATGAAAATTTAAAAAAATAAACTTAAAAAAAAAAATCAGAAGACACGGAGAAAACGTATACTGATTAGAAGCTTCCTCTCTGCCAAGCTAGCTTTCCTAGCCCTGGAATGTGTGATGTAGCCTGCTGGGGAGGAAAAGTTACCAACAGTATTACTCAGCTGTCAATCAAATGAGCAACAATAGCTCTGCCTCAGCGCTGTAAGGGATGCCCGTGGGTGCAATAGCGGTATAAACATTGTGGGCGTAACCAATCACTTTCTGCTTAATTTAAAGCCTGCTGCACTGGGAGAAACACATGCCTGCTATGGTTGACCTGGCCAAGAAACCATGGTTGAAGAGTTTACTGGCCCCAGGGGTAACCTACTACTATTATTCTGCCAAATGGATATAGTATAAAACTGGCTTCTAAATCTATCCATCTCTACTTAGAGATTAATGCATCACTCAGGTCTTATCAGAAAGGTTTCTTTGTGCAGTGGATGGTGGTTGGTGTAGAAATTCACAACTGGTCAGAGTGGAGAGCATAAACATCAGTAGAGGTGACTGGCTAGGAACAGGCCCTCTATATCATAATCTCTCCCCAAAGGTCAGGGACCAATGGGAGAGAGGAGGCAGAAAGATTGTAAGAGCTAGAGATAGGAAAGATCAGATTGAAAACAGCATCTTTGCTGGGCGGTGGTGGCGTATGCCTAAAGGCAAGTGGATCTCTGTGAGTTCAAGGCCAGCTTGGTCTATAAAGTGAGTTCCAGAACAGCCAGGACTGTTACAGAGAAACCTTGTCTCAAAAAAAGAAAAAAAAAAGAAAGAAAAAAGAAAACAGCATCTTCTAGATATGGCAGAACCAAGGCACACATGAGCTCACATCACAGCAGCTGTGGTTGGCTGCACGAGACCTCTGCAAGATCATTTTAACACGATGTGGGAAGAGGTTCAGAACCCCCGAGCCACAACTGAGGAACTATGAACGGTTGATGGCTAATTTGGATCACAATCAGCGTCAGATCTCAAGGAAACCTGGACAAGTCTCGCTCAGTACCTGTGGCTCCTTCCCGGCACTCTTCACCCACCCCCTCCCCTGAGCCTCTCCCTCCCATGGGCTGGGCTTCTGCTTCCCCTCCCCCAGCTTCTCTTTTCTATATAAACTCAGCCATTTTGGCTATGCAGTCTCCTGGCCTCTTGGTTCCTGTCTGGCTCTGCTCCTAGATCTCTCTGGGTCGGCTTTCTCCCCTCCCTCAACTCGCCTCTCTCACTCCCTCCTCTCTCTTTCCTCTCATGGTCACGTTCAGTCTGGACTTCCAGGTGCCACTGGCTGTTTTCTCCCTCGTAGCTACAATAAACTTTCTCTTCGACCATACCTTGGAGTCTTCAGTCAAGACTGGTAAGTACATCATATATAGAGTTACAGTTAAAAGCTGCTTTTGCTGGTACACCCGTCAACCTGAGTAGTAGAGTGGCTCTGAAATGTCCTTCAGGGGCTGGGTGACTAGCAGCCTCACTCCTGATGCCATGCCTTCCCCGCCATGATGGACAGTCTTGCCTGGACCCATGAGCCCTAACAAACCCAATCCTTCCTTCCTTCCTTCCTTCCTTCCTTCCTTCCTTCCTTCCTTCCTTCCTTCCTTCCTTCTTCCTTCCCTCCCTCCCTCCCTCCTTCCTTCCTTCCTTCCCTCTCTCCCTCCCTCCCTCCTTCCTTCCTTCCTTCTTCCTTCTTCAGTGGCTTTCGTCAGCTATTTTGTCAAAGCAAGGAGAAAAGTAACTAAGAAACCTCTCAGGAAAATGACAGAGGCCGGCCACTGAAGTACCCAATCAGATAGATGGGCTCGGGCCTCCGGAGACACAGTGGTGTCCAGAATATGAGCGAAATAACTGGGGACTTAAGAGCCAAGGATCAGTGCCGGGCATACTGGTGCACACTTGTCACCCCGGCACTTGGGTGGTAGAGGCAGAAGGATCAGAAGTTCAAGGTCATCCTCAGCTATACAATGAAGTTGAGACCTGGCTATATGAGACCCTGCCCCCCACCCAAACCCAAGAATGGGCTGAATGTGGCTAGTTCCCTAGAGAAACTGATAGACCTTCTTTCTGCCTTCCACCCCCCTACTCCATTTGGTAATGACATTATCTCCCTCCATCAGGAATCCATTAGTTCAGCGGAGGCCGGGCTGAGGAGTCCATTAAGGCTCCCTCGGGTGTATCCAGGCATCTATCCAGTGCATTAGAGTGGAGACAGGGCTGGCGAGGGGGCCCTTCAGGCTGGCTCAGCAGCTGCCTTCCCAGGATGAGGTATGTTGCTGCCTCATCCATTTCAACCAGCAAACTCCACAAACCCAGTGAGCTTGAACGAGGGAGTCTCTACATCTGCATGTCCTGTTTCTACTGTCTGTGTGCTACAAAATAATTACATCCTCCATGGATAAGATGTTTCCTATGGCCTTGTTTGTTTGTTGAAACAACATCTCACTATGTATCCCTGGCTGACTTAGAATTCACTATATAGACGAGGCTGGACTCCAACTTGTAAAATTCTCCTGCCTCTACCTCCCCAGTCCTGAGATGACAAGTTTATGCCACCACACCTAGTTTATGTGGTCCTGTGGGTGGAACCCTTCAAGGATGCTAAGCAGTCATTGTACCACTGATGTCTGTTGGGGAATATTATTTTAAGGTGTGTTACTTTTGTTTATGTTGCATTTGTTTAACTCTGTGAAGCTGTGTTACTGTGCCTGTCTAAAACACCTGATAGTCTAATAAAGAACTGAATGGCCAATAGCAAGGCAGGAGAGGGATAGGTGGGGCTGGCAGGCAGAGAGAATAAATAGGAGAAATCTGGGAGGAGGAGAAGTAGCCAGAAAAGGACATCAGGGACCAGCCACCCACCTACACAGCCAGCCACAGAGTAAGAGTGAAAGTAAGATACACAGAAGAGAAAGGTAAAAGCCCAGAGGCAAAAGGTAGACGAGATAATTGAAGAAAAGCTGGCTAGCAACAAGCCAAGCTAAGGCCGGGCATTCATAATTAAGAATAAGCCTCCATGTGTGATTTATTTGGGAGCTGGGTGGCGGGCCCCCCAAAAGAACAAAAACAACCAGCAACCTTTTGGCGTTCCAAAGTGGGGCCGTAGAAAGCTGAA